ACCAGTTCTTCTTTTTTTACAGTGAATTACTGAAAGCACGATGACGCCCACAGTTAGACCACAACCAGACACAGCCATATCCACGTTTCTGCTTTGAAACAACAGAAGTCATAAACAAGTGTCAGTTTGAACATTAACAAAAAACTTATTACTATAACATTATTATTTCAACCACCAATACAAGTGCAAATATTGCTTTGCCTCTGATATAAAGTCACTGTGTAAATTAATTTGTATAATTTAATCATTCATTTCAAGTTAAGGATATGTTAAGAATTAAAATTATTCGCAATGTAGTGCTGCTATGAGGAAGTTCACGTAGTCCAGTTGAATCATCACTAAAGCGTAAATCATTCAAGTGAGTCAATAAAAACAAATGGAATAATCAAAGTTTCATATTCATATTGACATTTAATGTGTGTTGACTGATTCTCAATTCATGCACTGAGTAACATGCAAGAAAACATTCCACCTTAAAAGTTTCTGGTAGCTGCTGGAAGCCTTTAAGTGGCACAGTGAATTAAATTATTTTTCTTCAGTCTAAAGCTGGTTAATGTTAACTAGTGAAGATGAAAAAACAGCAAAACATTCTTTAAATCACTCTTTTGATGGTTTCTTTCTTTCTTTATGTGAAACAATACAGCTTGTGCTGCATCTACAATGTCTGCAGGAAATGAAAGCTTGCTTGGCTATATTTTCAAAGCCTTGACTATTATGAGCTCGACCTCTGCCTGCACTGCAACCTTTTCTCAGAATAGAGATGTTTGCTCGGTATGAGTAAGTAAATGAAATCATTCAAAACACAAAGTACTTGTGTTCATTTGCCTATATTGACTGAAACCACGCTAATTACAACATATTACATCCAGGTTAACGCCTAATAGTTGTTGTTTGGCGGACTGCTGCGTAATATTGATCATGTAGGCAGTTATAGTTGACTAATGTATGTAAACCTGCCACTGTAGGAACAGTGGTTACCTTATGTATGGGCACACATGCGCAC